TCCATGCAGGGAGCCCAATGTGGGACTCGATCCCGGGTCTCCAGGATCACGCCCTGGGCTGAAGGCGGCGCTAAACCACTGAGCCACCCAGGCTGCCCAACAAAAATCTTTTAAAGTAAAATAAAAAGCCTTTCTTAGACCATAATGGAATTAAACTAGTAATGAACAACACAGATATTTGGTAAATCTCCAAATATTTGGAAATTAAGAAACACAATTCTAAATAATCTATTGTTCAAAGGGGAAATTAGTAAATGCTTTGAATTGAATTAAAACTAGACTATAACAGGGATGTCTGGGTGGCCCAGTTGGTTAAGCATCTGACTTTGGTTCAGGTCATCATCTCAGGGTCCTGGGATTCAGTGTGTTCGGCTCCCTGCTTAGCAGGGAGTCTGCTTTTCCCTCTTCTGGTGCTCCTCCCCCTGCTGGAGCTCTCTCACTCTCACAAATAAATGAATAAAATATTTTTTAAAAAAACTAGAATATAACATACCAAAACTCATTGGCATGCAGCTCAAGCAATGCTTAGATATTTATTTATACCATTAAATATACAGAAAGAACAAAAGTCTCAAATCAGTGATCTAAGTTTTCACTTTGAAAAACTGGAAAATGAAAAAAAAAAAGAAAAACTGGAAAATGAAAAGCAAACTTAAATCCAAAGTAAACAGAAGAAAAAAAGAAAAACAATAAAGTGAACAGAAGAAAGTAAATGATACACAAAAGACCACAAAAGATCAATGAAAATGAATTCATTGAAATTATTACATTTCCTAATGAAATTGAATTCATAATTAAAAACCTCCCAACAACACATATAAACCTTCATATATTCACGCATAATAGAAAGTCTGAACAGCTTTATGAAGCAATTATTAAAACTCAGAAGAGAGGCACCTGGTGGCTCTGTTGGTTAAGCATCCAACTCTTGATTTCAGCTCAGATCATTATGTCAGGTTGTGACATTGAGCCCTGTGTTGGGCTCCACATCGAGTGTGGAACCTGCTTAAGATTCTCTCTCTCTCTAATAAATAAATAAATCTTTTAAAAAGATTCCTCCCAGAAAGCACTATAGTATCACAGTTATTCTAAATTCTGTCCCTAATCAAAATAGCTGAGTCCTTCCCTGTTCCTTACTGCAGGTAATTCAGTAATTCATTTCTTCCTATGCTGTTCAGAAATATCTTCCTTTCTCAAGTTCTTGAATTTATTTGTATTTGTTTTCTATTAAGAAATTAAAATTTTTGTTGTTGATATGTAGGTCCTCAGTCTGTCTGGAGTTGATTTTGTTTCCTGACGTGATCTAATTTAATGTGAGGAACCTGTTTTTGTGCAGCAACATCAGTCTTCCCTTTATACACTGATCTGACACCTAATTCTGTTATCTAATAATATTCTACATTCATGAGTCTCCTGCTGGCCTATTCTAGTCATTGGTCAATTTACCTACTTCTGTACTAAAACTGTATCATCCTTCTTAGCTTCATAGAAATTTCTCATATCTGTTTGGGCCTAGGGCTTCATAAGTGTTCTCACTATCCCGGGCTCTTGACTCCTCCAGCCTCAATGTCATGGTTCACTGTAACTCTCTCCTTGCCATCACTCTCAACTCCCTTGCCCTTCGTTCACCCCATTCACCTGACTAGACCTCCCCCCCTTCATCTACTAAGTCATTATATTGAATGAATCTGAATACACAAAGCCATGCTGACTGATATAACTTCCTAATGTGCCCTCAGAACTGTTCAACATTCCTAAATTCTCTTCTCAAACTATCCTCCCACACTTCTAGATTAGGAGGCAAAATTCATATATTGAAACCTGTTCCGCAATGATATGGGGCCTTCGGGAGGTGATTGGGTCATAAGGGTACAGTCCTTGTGAATGAGATTAGGGCCCTTATAAAAAGACCCCGATATGAAAATTATCTTTCAATAAAACTGGAAAAAACAAACAAATAAAATGGAACCCCCCAGAGAGCTGCCTTGGCCCTTCTGCTATTTGAGACAGCAAAGAGAGCTGTCCATGAACCAAGAAGTAAGCTCTCACCACTTATCAAATCTGCGAGCACCGTGATCTTGGACTTCCCAATCTCCATAACTGCAAGAAATAAAGTTCTGTTATTTATAAGCTACCCAATCTATAGTATTTTGTTAGAGTAGCCTGAATGGACTAAGGCGCTGTCCCTCAGTAGAAGGGGAATAATAAAAGTATTCACCTTTTACTGTTACAAGAATTAAATGAGTTAATAAATGTAAGGCACCTAAAACAGTACGTGGCACATTGTATGTGTATCGAATAATACTATTTAAATAGGGTTATTTTGGATGATTTCAGACCCTATCCTCTCTCCTCCAACGTCTTTTCCCTCCTCTTTCTCTGCACAGATGGCCTTGCTGAATTCACCAAGGAAGGAGCAACCAAGAGAAGTTCCACGTCTCTCCATCAACAAATCTTTCAGTTTACTTGCAGTTATAGCCCATCCTCTGCCTTCTTTATTACTACAGATAACCTGTTATTATTCCTAAGATCAATTCCTCCACTTGGGCACCCCTCTAGTCTCCTCAAAGACTTATTTATGCAATTATCCCCTTTCTCAAATGAACTATCCATTTTTTTCTTCTCTACTAGAACAATCCCCTAAAAAATGTCATAAAATCTGCCATCTTAAACAAACTCATCCTGACTCCACATCCCCCTCATGATAGAACCCCTCTTCTCCGCAGATCATAGAAAAATCCCTTCCAAAAGTAGGTCTACAGATGCTGTCTACGCCTCCTTCTTTCCCATAATCTCTTGGCTCCAATCCCATAAGGCTTACATTTTCACCACGGCACAGGATCCCCACATGACAAAGTCACCAATATCCTCCACATTGCCAAATGCAAGACAATTCTCAGTCCTCATCTTACCCCCCATTGTCACATTTGCTCACTTCTATTTCTCCACTTGGCTTTTATTAGAGTATAGCATTGGCTTCACCTACCTCCCTTCTGCATCACTAAGTCTCGCCCAGGGCTCAGGTCTCTAACCTCTCTCTCTTCTACCTACACTCACCCCCAAGTGACCTTACCTAGGGCTATGCTTTTCAATACTGATGACTCCCTGGAACTCCATTATGTATATACCCAACTACCCACTTCCCACCTCTACTTGGATGCCTAACAGGATCTCAAACTTATGCATCCATAACTCTTAATCTCCCCTTCTAAATCTGCTCCTCTCCCAGTATAACCCACGCAATAAATAACACCGCAAGTCACCAAATTGTGCAAGGTGAAAACCCCAACTCCAATCTCACATCCTATAGCCCTCAGCAAATCCTACTGGCTCAGCCATTCACCTTATCCAACCACTTTTTTTCCACCTGACAGTCTAAGCCATCATTACTGGATATCTCAACTGGAGCATCCTAACACCCTCTCAACTGGCCTGGCAGACTCATCGCTTACAGCTTTTTCTCCTCCTGTGTATAAATTTATATCCTATCTTGCTGCTCCCCTGCTCAAAACTCCCCAATGGCATCCAACCACATACCGAGGAAACACAGCTTTTACCATGAGCTTCCGGCTCCAGGTTTCCCTGTGGCCCTCTCAGGCCTTACCCAGGGCCACGCTGGTCCTCACTCAGGAGCTCCCCCTCTCTGATCCTTGGGTTCTGGAAAAGTACCAGCCGGGCAGCCTGAGGGGGGGTGGGGTGCAGCGATTTAGGGACGCCTTCAGCCCAGGGCGTGACCCCGGGGTCCCGGATTCGAGTCCCACGTCGGGCTCCCTGCCTGGAGCCTGCTTCTGCCTCTGCCTGGGTCTCTGCCTCTTTCTCTGTGCCTCTCATGAATAAATAAATATATACATTTTTTTTTTTAAAAGTACCATCCCGTTGTCCTTCCTGGAAACTCTACCCCATACACGGGTTTAAACGGCCCCTGTCCTTAGCAGCTCAGCTCAACGTGATCTCCACGGAAACGGCTTCTGAAACCACCCCATCCGCAAGTCCCTGACACCTACTTTTATATTCTCTATAACGCTGATCAGAATTTAAAACGTTCCTGTTCATTTCTAAATACACTTTATATATATTTCTGCCTGCCAGCACCTAGAACAGCAATTTCATAAAAACAAGACACCCGGGATCCCTGGGTGGCGCAGCGGTTTGGCGCCTGCCTTTGGCTCAGGGCGCGATCCTGGAGACCCGGGATCGAATGCCATATCGGGCTCCCGGTGCATGGAGCCTGCTTCTCCCTCTGCCTATGTCTCTGCCTCTCTCTCTCTCTCTCTGTGACTATCATAAATAAATAATTTTAAAAAAATTAAAAAAAAAAAAACAAAAACAAAAACAAAAAAAAAACAAGACGCCCTCCCCTCGTTCACTATTGCATCCCCGGAGCCTAGAACGGTTACCTGGCAGGAAGAAAACATTGTAAAAAATAGCTGTGTGATAAACCAGCATCCCAGAAATCCCTCAAATCTAGTCCATTCTACAGGAGAAACGTATGCTTTAAGAAAGTTAAATGAGTCGCCCAAGGTCGCACAACCCGTAAGTGGTAGCTTTGGTTTCAAGGCTTGGAAACCTCCAATTACACAGCACATCGCTTCCAGATTTTTTTTTCCCCCGCAATTTACGATTCTGCTCGCGAGTCGGGGTTGAAGCTCAGGTGGCCCGCCCTGCACGCTCGCGGGTCCCCTCGCTTTGCCCCGCCTCCGCTCGCTAAGCCCCGCCCCGCGTCCCTAAGCCCCGCCCCCGCGGGTTTGCCAGCGCGCCTGCGCCCTCCAGCGAGTCTCATGCAAAGGATTCTGGGATTGGTAGTCCGCACTCCTCCTGTCGCCAGCAGTGACTTAAAACCGAAATAAAAACAATGTAAGCGAAGCGACACTGAATGCCACACGAATTGAGTAAGGCCCAGGTTCTGGGAAGTGGCGCAAGCTTGTCGTTTTCAAACCAGGGGCGCCAGCTTCGGGGCAGGCGCTGAGCAGACAGCTGCATGGGGTCCTCGGCTGGGCGGGGCTTGTTCGCGGTGGCTTGTGGCTCCTTCCTGCCTCGCTTCTCTCTTTCGCTCAGGCCCGTGGCGCCGGCAGGATGGGTGAGCTGGCGGCGGCCGGGCTGGGGGGTGGTGGGGGGGGGGTCGCCGGCCGAACTCGGGGGTCGGGGGCCGGGCGCAGGGCGCGCAGGTACAGGGCGGCGAGGAGGACGCTGCCGGGCGGCCCGACGGGGAAGGCCAGGGGGCGCCGGCCCGCGAGCCCACGGCCCGGAGCGGGAGGGCCCATGCGGCGCCCAGGCCGCGCCGCCGCTGACGGGCGCTGGGCCGCGGGAGCTGCGCCGGGGCTCGGCGCCTGGGAGGGCGCGTCCATGCGGGCGTCCGCGTGCGCGCCTCGGTTGGTTCCGGGAGCCTGAGGGCCGCGCCACGTGCTGAGGCGGCGCGCGAGGGCCTGCGGGCTGCCGCCGGGTGAGGCGGGGGTCCTCGGAGACGTGAGGCGCGGCCGCGGCGTACGGACCGACTAACCGGGGCTTCGCTCGCAGGCAAGTGCCGCGGCCTCCGTACCGCCCGGAAGCTCCGCAGCCACCGGCGGGACCAGAAGTGGCATGATAAGCAGTACAAGAAGGCCCACCTGGGCACGGCGCTGAAGGCCAACCCCTTCGGGGGCGCTTCCCACGCGAAGGGAATCGTGCTGGAGAAGGTGTAAGTGGGGGCGCAGGGACCTCGCGGTGCGTCCGCGGTGCGGGAGCTCCCCCGGCGAGGCGAGGCGAGGCGAGCCGCGAGGCCGGCGCCCCACGGGGTCGGAAGCCGCCGGAGGTGGGGGGAGGCGGCAACGGAGGGGCGTCCCGAGGGCTTCCGACGTGCGCACGGCCCCCAGCCGTCGGTCCTCGCCTCTGCCACCAGTTTTGGCATCTTTCTATTCGGGGAAATTAAGGTAAGTTTCTTGCGGGAGGTTACGGTTTCTGGCGGTCGGGTTTTGAATCCAGGCTCGGCAGCTTTGTTTCTCCGTGCGGGTTTGTTGTTTTGCATCTGGTCAAGGGGCCAGAGGTCTTGTCCCTGATGTGCTGGACTGAGGAGAAGCTTGGTCCGTGTCACGGGACTTGGCCGATTTAGGAGCCGACTGAAAAGGTGGAACCGGTAGGGTCTCTAGGGAAGGCAGCTCACGGTGCTGTGCCGCTTGTGTTCCAGGGGGGTTGAAGCCAAGCAGCCAAATTCTGCCATCAGGAAGTGCGTCCGGGTCCAGCTGATCAAGAACGGCAAAAAGATCACAGCCTTTGTACCCAATGATGGTTGTTTGAACTTTATTGAGGTGAGTATTTCAGTTTCTGGTATCTGTTCCTGAGAGCGTGTTATTTCCCACTTTTTTATGTGACGAATGGGTATTTTTAGCGATTGCCAATGATACCGGCAGTAAACTGTTGATTTTATTCCAGGAAAATGATGAGGTTCTGGTGGCTGGATTTGGTCGCAAAGGTCATGCTGTCGGTGACATTCCTGGAGTTCGCTTTAAAGTTGTCAAAGTAGCCAATGTCTCTCTCCTGGCCTTGTACAAAGGCAAGAAGGAAAGACCAAGATCATAAGTTTTGGTGGTAAAAACAGGACAATAAATTTTCATATACCAGAAACGTTTTGTGTCTTATTTTCCTTAACTGCAGAGGTGATGGTGTGTGCTTAACCATTTCAGGAGACTGGGATTCAGTGTTTCTTCTCTTCGTGGAATAGACAAATCCGCAGCTAATAAATCCAGAATAAATGCACAGTATACCTGTGTAGAGGGCTTTTGGAGCTCACTGTACTTAAAGCAGGAATCGTGCTGGGAAACCACGCCAATGTGCATCCTGTGATCATCTCCTGGGGACCCAGTATGGTAAATAGCACCCTCAGGTTGCTCCCTGTTTGGGGGTTCAAGTATCTAAAGGTTCATGATCCATGTTGTATTTCTGTTTATGACAAGAAAGGCACTGGGTGACTGAGTGGATACAAGTCAATGGATGTGTGTACACCAGGCAAATTAGACCTGGAAGAAAAACTTAGGGGTGTTCAGCTATAGAAAAGATGAACCTAGATGCTCTTTGTCCTGACCTTGTCAGCAACTGATATATTTTGATCTTGGGGTTTATTTCACATCACAAAGTGTAAGTAATGAGTTAGAAATGTTCAAGAAGTGTTAATAGCTTGGCAATTGTTGGAAGCTGGGTGTTAGGTGCATGAGGCAAGTTCTTTTTCATTCTTATTCCAGTATAGTTACCATATGTCACCATTAGGGTGTACAACACAGTGCTACAATTCCATGTATCCCTTGGTGCTCATCCTGACAAGTGTCCTTAATCCCACCACTTACTTTAGCTCCCCCCCACCCACTTTCTCTGGTAACGATCAGTTCGTTCTCTATATAGTTCATGTCTTTTGGTATTGATAAGTTGTCTCAAAATTTCCATAGGAGAAAAAATGGTGAAATCTCATGACTAAAATGAAACTAGCTTTCTTGAATCCCATCAGAGGACTGCTGCTGGCAGTGGGTTAACTTGATCTCTGATCAAAGCATAATGTTAGGTTATGTGTAGGACCTTGGAGAATAGAAATGCTTTGGCTCTCCATTGCCCATAAGACCAAGACCATCAACCTTTCCACAGCACAGGAGATGTGTGTTGTGTTTTGTCTGATGCTTGCCTGTTCAGCAATAATGCCCTCTCCCTTGCTAAAATTTGCATTCCCCATGCAGCTTCAGGAAGTCCCTCATGCTACCTGCTGCTTCTCTCCTCTCAGACCACTGATCCCCAAACCTCAAATTGTGTTTATGCTTGCTACGAATGACTGACTTGTCTTTCCACAACATTGGAAAGTGGCTGTTTTTTCAAAGACTGAAATACAAAGTTTGGCATATAACATTGTATAAATTCAGGAGCTACATGTTAATTTGATACATTTATGTATGGTAGTGAGACAGGCTGCCCTTGGTTTCTATTCCAGCGCTTACTAGAGCATGTAGTTGCACAGGTATTAGTTATGTCCTCCTCGAAGGCTGACCAGATGCTTTTGGATGGATATAACTGACCCAACCCAGGAGACCTCTGGGTCCTGCCCACCTGGCCTGAACCACAAAGAGACCACCAAGGATCACAGTTCCATCCCCATAGTCAGCACTGGGTCAGCCATGGTACAGGGAGCGAGGAGGTGCTGCCTGGCCTTGCAGGAGGGAAGAGGCAGGGGCAGGGCTAGAAGACCGCGGAAGGGATACCCACCCACACCTCTACAGTGTGTCGTTTACTGCTCTGAAGAGATCTCAGCCGAACCTGTAGAGACACACCTGGGAGTTAAGATACCTTGTGACAGTGGCTCGCACTTGTCTGCTGGGTGTACCCTGGACACCTATAGCTAAGAGACTGACAAATGGACACCTAAATCCACCTCTGATGCCTCAAACCCCAAAGTTCTTGAAACTGATCTCTCTCTTTATGCCTCATTTTGCCTCCTCTGTATTCCTCTTACCCATTCCCCCCCACCTTGTGACTGATGCTGTCCCTTCTTGGGTCCAGCATGAAGTGTGTGTCCAGCCCTGTGCTGTGCCTGACTGCATGGAGGCTGTAGGGTGAGAGAAATGAGACACTAACCATGGGTGCAAAATTTAAGCAAAGTCCCAGCAGATTTTTCCTATAGAGACAAAAGCTAATTCTAAAATTTTTATCAAAAGGCAAAGGAACTAGAGTAGTTAATACTGAAAATGAAGAATAAAGGGTGAAGGAATCACAAAACTTGATTTTATGATTTATAGCTACGGTAATCAAGACGGTGTGGTATTGAAGGGGGGCAGAGACATCAAAAAAATATAAACAGACCTACATAGGTAAGAACTGATTTTTGACAAAGGTACAAAAACAGTTTAATGGAGGAAGGATAGAGGATAGTTTTTACAATAAAGAGTATGGACTTCAGTTTGCTAAAAGAATGGACCTCAACCTAAATCTCACACCTTATACAGAAATTAACACAAAATGGATCATACATCTGCATGTAAAATGTAAAGCTATAAAATTGATAGAAGCAAGCAGAATATCTTCATGACTTTGGTGAAGAGCTCTTGGTACACCAAAAGTACATTACACACACAAAAGAAAGGATACATTGGACTTTTTCAAAATTTTACTCTGAAAAGTCTTAAGAGAATGAAAATAGAAATCACAGACTGGACAAAAATATTTGCAAATCATATATCCAACAACAAACTTGAGTCGAAAGTATATAAAGAACTTTCTAATCTCAAAAGTAAGGAAACAAATGGTCCTGTTAAAAAACATGAATTTCCAATTTCCTTTGTTTCATTCTAGTAAGATGTCTGGTGGCAGGATTTAATCATAATGGTCATGGCTATGGAAAACACACCTGGAGTCCGTTTCAAGGTTGTCCAAATAGCTAACGTTTCTTTGATGGCTTTGCATAGTCAAGAAAAGAGACTAAGGTCATAAATTATCACATTACTATAAAATTTTCATGAACAGTGGCTTGTATAATCTTTATTTTAACGTATAAAATCTCTTTAAATGGATCATTCAAGTATTAGCTCCCATTTCTTAGGACATTATAGTTGGGAGATTTTCTTAGGTTGTACTGAGCATTCTTAGTTTCTAGTACAATTGGTGTCCATATTATTTGGTAAAGTGATGTTAGTATGTGAAGAAGCTACATGGATTTTAAACCTTATTATCATAATAATGTGACCATAGGAGTTCTAGACCAAAGCATTAAAACATTAAAATTGTTTTAAGCATAAATTGTCTCATAGGAGAAAGTCATTTTTAGAGTGACACATTTGAAGGGATTCATGAGGGGATCCCTGGGTGGCTCAGCGGTTTAGCGCCTGCCTTTGGCCCAGGGTGCAATCCCGGAGTCCCAGGATCAAGTCCCACGTCAGGCTCCCGGCATGGAGCCTGTTTCTCTCTCTCTCTCTCTCTCTCTCTCTCTAAAATAAATAAATAGATAGATAGATAAATCTTTAAAAAAAAAAGGATTCATGAGCCACAGATAACATTTCCAAATATGCACATGCACAGTCGTCACCTCATTCAGGTTGTTCCACCTTTAATATATGGTGTGTATCTTCAAAAATGAGGGGGGCCCCTCACACACAGAATATTGGAACTTCAGCCAGACCTGATGAGCACCATCAAAATCCCTTAATAATTCTTCCCAATCTGAAGCTTTCAAATTGCAATTCCAGTGCCAAGGAGAGCTGCTTTTCAGGAGGGAGAAGAGGAAATCGTGGCCCCAGATCACTCCTTCACATCTTCCAGAAAAGTACTTTCCACAGGTCCTTACCAGTGATCTCCTTGATTATTTGTGGTAATAAGTTATTGACATGAATTTTGTTCTTTATTCACAATGAGTTTTTGTTTTGTTTTTTTTTTTTCTTTAAAATCTTTTTTGCTTTGGTTAATTAGAAACAGAACAGGGGTCAAGTTACCTGGCTGGGCTAAAAGTGTAGGACATACTGAACATGCCCAAATTTTCAAAAAAAAAAGGGTAGATACTAATGAAAATATTATGCTTCCTTACCTCTTTTACCAATCAGCTAATGCTTAAATCTACACAATAGTGGGGAAAGCAAGGCACATTTTAAATAGTATTTCAATCACAGCTGAGAACAGTTGAGAGAAACATTACTTGTTGAAACATACCATTAACACCTTTGGAAACAGTGACATGAAATAGGTTGTTTTGTCATATCTTTTTTTTCCCCATCAGCTTTGTGACTTTATCCAGACTTATAAGTCTTTATACCTTTTCCTATATAATTTGACAGGTGCTCTGGTTTGTGTGTATTGGCAGGTAAGGAGGACCACTTTCCCCCTCTTTAGGTTCCTAGTAGGTTCCATTTTTTTTCCCAGTCTTTTTATTTTTTAAAGATTTTCTTTCTTTATTCATGAAAGATAGAAAGAGGCAGAGACATAGGCAGAGGGAGAAGCAGGCTCCCTGGGAGGAGCCCAATACGGGACTCAATCCCAGGACCCCAGGATCACACCCTGAGCCAAAGGCAGCCGTTCAACTGCTGAGCCACCCAGGCGTCCTTGACCAAGATTCTTGATCTAGGATTTGTCTCTTAGATTTTAAATAGTCTAGGGACCTCCTGCAACTGTATGTAGAATTCCCCCCCGCCCACAAACACTTTTTTAAAGAGAGAGGCTGCATATGTGTGCACACCTGGGGGGCAGGGACAGTGAGGGGGACAAAGAGGGGGAGAGACAATCTTAAACAGGCTCCACACCCAGCACGGAGCCTGAGATGGGGCTCGATCTCACAACACTGAGATCATGACAAGGTGAAATCAAGAGTACGATGCTTAACCAACTGAGTACCCAGGTCCCCCATGAATGCAGAATTTTCTGCTCTATATCAGCGATATGTGTGTGTGTGCGTACACACTTCCACATATATGGCACACACATTTTTCTGAAAATAGGTTTATATATTTTCAGACTTTTAAAGGGGTCCCTTCACAAGAAACTAGACATTGTTTAAATCTATAAAACTAGATTTGGCCACATATTACCTAACTGTCCATTTTAATCACAGCTGAGAAGAGTCACAAGAAGTTGTCTATGGTTTAACATCATTTAAGAAATGTCTCCAATGTGGTGAAGATCT